TGCAAAGGAAGCTGTTTGGTTATGGCATCGTCGTTTAGGTCATTTATCTTTTAGTTATCTTAAAAAACTTCAACCAAAATTGTTCTCAAATGTTAGTGACTCAGAATTTCATTGTGATGTATGTGAATTGGCCAAGAGCCATCGCATTTCCTATCCACCAAGTTTTAATAAGAGTCCAGTTCCATTTATGAAAATTCACTCGGATATTTGGGGTCCTGCAAAAATTCCTTCTCTTTCTGGTGCTCAATATTATGTAACTTTTATTGATGATTGCACTCGTATGATCTGGGTGTCATTGTTGAAGCATAAAAGTGAAGTCTTTGAACGGTTTACTGAATTTTATAAAATGGCGTCAAATCAATATCACCAGTCTATTAGAGTTTTTCAGTCCGACAACGGTGGCGAGTTTGTGAATGGTCCTATGATGGAATTTTGCCGATCAAATGGAATTCGTCATCAGACCTCAAATTTGTATACTCCCCAACAAAACGGTTTAGCAGAGAGGAAAAATAGGCAGTTGATGGAAGTGGTTCGTGCTTCATTGTTTGGCATGAATGTACCTCGAACATATTGGGGAGAAGCCGTGAAATCTGCAGCCTATCTCATCAACCGCACCCCTTCTAGGGTGATTGAATTTCAAAATCCTTATCAGAAGATGCATGAACTTTTATCCATCCCATCCATGCCGAATTTGGAACCTCGGGTATTTGGGTGTACAGCTTATGTACACATACCGAAGCAACAACGGCACACACTTGACCCCAAGCTGGACCCTCGAGCAAGAAAGTGTATATTTGTAGGATATGCAGAATTTCAGAAGGGCTATAGATGTTATGATCCAATTACTGCCAAGTTACATATATCTCTTGATGTCTCTTTCCATGAATCTGAGCCTTATTACTCTGAGAGAGCCCCTCAGCATTCTCCTCAGGGGGAGAGAATTTTTGAAGGGAATCATCACTCTACCATTGAGAGTGACATATTTGGAGAGTTGGAGAATTTGGAAGAAAAATTTGGAGAAACAAGAGGAGTGTCTGAAACTACTATTGAAGGCGTTGGAATGCCACTTGAGACAGAAGAAGTCGATCCATCATCACGTGATACAGAAGCTTGCAATGAACAAATGATTAATCATATGGACCCTAGTGAAGGAGTTGAAGGTCACAATTTTGATTTCCACCCTTCTACATCACCAACCGAAGACTCCGTTCAGAATGATCTACCTCAGGTACCTTTACACTTAAATGAGTCATCTAAGTTAGAAATTAGGAAGTCACAAAGGGCTACCAAAGGTGTTCCTAAGAAACAGTATGTACCAGACATTAAAGCCAAAACCAAATATCCCATATCCAATTTTATGTCTAATCATAGGCTATCTAAGTCACATGCACTTGTGGTTGATCAATTATCTACTGTATCTATTCCTAGTAACGTGCAGGATGCACTGGCTGACCCTAAATGGGCAAAGGCAATGCATGAGGAGTTGGAAGCCCTTGAAAAGAATGCAACATGGGAGTTAGTAGATATACCTATTGGAAAGAAAACTGTAGGATGTCGTTGGGTGTTCACTGTGAAGCTTAAGGCAGATGGAACTATTGACCGTTACAAAGCCAGGTTGGTTGCTAAAGGGTACACACAACGCTATGGGATCGATTATGAGGAAACATTTGCACCAGTGGCAAAGATCAATACTGTCCGAATTCTAATTTCACTTGCAGCAAACAAAGATTGGCCTTTGCGCCAATTTGATGTAAAGAATGCGTTTCTGAATGGGAATTTAGAGGAAGAAGTATACATGGATGTACCCCTGGGAATTAGGACCAACCTTAGTGACGTTGGCAAGGTTTGCAAATTAAAAAAATCGTTGTATGGTTTGAAGCAGTCACCGAGAGCTTGGTTCGGGAGATTTTCGAAGTCCATGAAAGTTTTTGGGTACAAACAGAGCAATTCTGACCATACCTTGTTTATCAAACGCAAGAATGGTAAGATTACGGCTTTGATTGTATATGTTGATGATATGATTGTTACAGGAGATGACCAACATGAGATGAATGAATTGCAAAAAAATTTGTCGAGGGAGTTTGAGATGAAAGATCTTGGATCACCGAAATATTTCCTAGGGATTGAAGTTGCAAGATCTAAAAGGGGAATCTCACTTTCGCAGAGAAAATATGTCCTTGACTTGCTAACCGAAACTGGGATGCTTGATTGTAAACCAGCTGAAACACCGATTGAGATGAATCATGGACTTGCCATCTATCCTGATCAAATCCCGACTGATAAAGGGAGGTATCAACGTTTAGTAGGAAGATTAATTTATCTTTCTCATACTAGACCTGATATTGCTTATGCCGTAAGCGTGGTCAGTCAATTTATGCACTGTCCAAGTGAAGAACATATGGATGCAGTGTTCCGTATCTTAAGATATTTGAAGATGACGCCAGGAAGAGGATTATTGTTTGAAAAAAAGGGTGAACTAGATGTTGTTGGGTATACAGATGCGGATTGGGCCGGGGATAAGACAGACAGACGTTCTACATCTGGATACTTCACTTTTGTTGGAGGAAACCTTGCCACATGGCGTAGTAAGAAACAAAAAGTTGTTGCCAGATCGAGTACAGAAGCTGAGTTTCGAGGCATGGCACATGGAGTTTGTGAAATGCTATGGATTTGCAATGTCTTGAAAGAACTGGGTTACAAACTTGAGAAGCCCATGAACCTGTATTGTGATAACACAGCTGCTATTGAGATTGCACATAACCCAGTTCAGCATGATCGGACAAAACATGTGGAAGTTGATCGTCATTTCATTAAAGAGAATCTCGACAGAAAAGTTATTAACTTCCAATTTGTAACTTCAGAACAGCAATTAGCGGATGTCCTTACTAAAGGAGTACCTAAACGAGTGTTCGACAACTTAATTGACAAGTTGGGCATGATAGATATCTATGCACCAACTTGAGGGGGAGTGTAGAATTGAAAAAGATTTTTTCCTTGATTATCCTCCAGCTGGCTGATGACATGTTTAGACTTCAATACTTATTGTTCTTGCAGAATTAGCTTGAACTTTTGTATCTCGTGGTGGTGAAGGTTTTCTCTTGTATCCAATTACAGGGAACAACTGTCCCTTTGTATTGACCCTGTGAAATTTTCTATGTACACGTAGCGTTGCTTGTTTGACAAACGCAGCTTTAAATTGTGGGCTGGTGGTAAGGTGCTTTGTTGGTGCAATAATTTTTTAGGATTATATCACAGATATTCTTCACATTTAGGACAACAATAATTCAATACTTAAAAATTTTTGAATATATGTATAGTAAAATTTAAAATTAGAATTTGGTAATAAATTATTTAAATTTTTTTTATTATGTATACATAATTTAAATATTAGTAAATGCAAACTTATCAATAAAAAATTTATATTTATAAACTCATAAAGAAAAAAAAGTTAAATTTTATTTATTTTTACCAAAGTAAATTTATTTTAAAAAATAGTATATTTTAGTTGGTTAAAATATTATACACCTTCAAAATTTATTATTAAATGGTGATCGTGTATTGTAATAGAATACTATGTTAATCTCTTGTGGTTATTTGATATTTAATTGTATTTATATATAACTATTTTTTAAAAAATATTTTATTAATATTTTTAAAAAGACAAAAAAGAGAGTCAATTCGTGGGACCCACAAGCATATAGACCGAATAATGCTGAGATAGGGTTTGGGCATTTAGGAGTTGAGCCACTACTATTAAAAAATAAAAAATATTAAAAAAAATTATGAGTTTACCTTTAAAATTATTTTATTGGTTAAATGTTAGGTTAAAATAAGTTTTGAAGAAAAATGAATTTATATTTTAATAATTTAAAATTCAGATGAAACGATAATGATGACACTTCCACTTTATCGTATTCTAATTTTATCGTTAATTTGTCACAAGAAAATATTTGCAGAGACTGCCAAAAAGAAAGGATAATAGTCTTTCTTGAAAACGTTCCAGAACAGTCACCATCTCCTTATGTCCGTTTAACCCCCAGAACTAACGCACGTAGTCAAAATCCCGTTTTCCACTAGAGAAATTCCTGTTACAAGCTGTGTTTGTTGAATTTAGGAGCTGTGGTTTTCTCAGTTGTTAGTCTTCGTAAATTCTTGAGGTACTCTGTCTTTTGATACTGTTTGATGATTTTGTTGCGTGTTTCTTCGAATTTTCTTGTTCTCAATTATTGTTTTTGTGCCTCTGTTTCTGAGTTTGACCACTTCTTGTTTTTTCTTTTCTTTTCTTGTGCTTTCCTTTCCCCAAATTATGTTTTGCAATTGTTCTTTTGAGGGTTTTAAATTGTTCTCACCTAAAGATTTATCAAGATCTCGTGTGTGTGAATTGAATTGAATTTAGATGTATATCTAATGTTTAGTATATTCTGTCCATAATTTTAGTTATGCACGACGATCATGGTTATCTAGTGATGATTATGATTATTGGACATTTATTCGCTGAAAAATTGAAAGAATTCTTTATTTTTTAGTTTCTGGGTGGGTTATGAGATTATGGTTTAAACAAGTTGAGTTTATCCTGCTGGTGAGCCAGCCTATTCATGTTAATTTTCTTAGTTAAATGAAAACTTGAGTTCAAACTCAAGGCTAAAACTGAGCAAAATGGTGTGGCTCGAGATTGAGTTCGTGTGTGAACGCAATCACATGATTCTTTGATGGGTTCAAGCTCTAGTTGAAACACAAAGCTAATAATAACCAGTTCTATCATTAATTACTTGCGCAATTTCTGTAAATTTTCACGTCAGTAACTCCGAACCAGAGTTTAATTAAGGATGGAAACTCTAATTTGACATTGCGAAGGTGTAATACTTGTACTTCTTCTGGTTGTAGCACATTTCTCCTTCATAACTCAGTTGCTAGGTGAATTGTCTTGACACATGATGAATCCATGAATAGGTACTTGCTAGATAAGAAGCTTGCCTACAATTGATTCATCAGGAATAACAATGAACGGCGACGGGCATTCCATGCTTGAAGATCAAAGGGAAACACAGACTTCTGTTCTTGCGGTATGTCCTTAAGCTTTGTTAATTTAATTTTTTCACTTTATCAAGGAAAAATTCCCTGAAGTTTGATATTTGTCCCATAGGTTGTTGATACAGAGAAAAAATTGTTGGCCTCAATCTATTCAAAAGGTCTTTTACATAGTGACACTATAGAGCTATATCACAATGTCCGGGCTGGTTACGAGGAAATCATTTTGAACAATCATCAGTTGGTGGAACTTCAGGAAGTGGAATATCTTTTGTGGAAGCTACATTATAAGCACATTGACGAATTTCGTAAAAGAATGCGCCAACTATCTTCCAATGCAGAGCATGGAAACATTGATTCCCAGAAAATCATTGATAGACATCTGGAAGGATTTAAGTCATTTCTGTGCGAAGCAGCTGATTTTTATAGGAATTTAATTATTAAACTTAGAAAAAGTTGTGGGCTTCCTGCAAAAGTCTTATTGGATAACAACAATGACAACCCATTTTTTGTTAAGCCAACAAACAAACATCAATGTGAATATGCATGCCATCGATTTTTAGTTTGTCTTGGGGATCTTGCTCGATACACCGAGCTTATCAAGAAGCCTGATGCCTGTAACTGGTCAACTGCTGCAACCTACTACCTAGAAGCAACCAGGACCAGGCCAGATAGTGGGAACCCCCATAATCAGGCATATCCCTCTTAATAATATGTCTTAATTTGCTAGTTTCCATTTCTCAGTTTCTTAAAGCGTTACGCTATTTGCATAAATATTACAAGATTTGCATCTGAGACTGGTGTGTCTGCAGTTGGCATTGTTGGCAACATATGTTGGTGATTCTTTCCTTGCTTTGTACCATTGTATAAGAAGCTTGGCAGTTAAAGAGCCATTTCCCGATGCCTGGAATAATCTCATGCTACTCTTTGAAAAGGTAAAAGGTGATATTTGTACTTCCCCCCTCCCCAAACAGGAAAAAAAATGGAAAGAAAGAAAAAACTGCATGCACGCACCCACCAGGAAGAAAAAGAAAAAGTGCTTGAACCAATAATTTAAGTAGAAGATAATCTTGTCCATTCTTGATTTATCGTTCTTAATGTTGAGTCATTGTTTCTTGTGATTTTGCAGAACAGATCATCTCATTTGCATTTACTTTCAAGGGACGCGCACATTGATTTCTTAAATCCATCAGAAAGATGTTCCTTGCAGAATTCATCACAAGCAGAGTGTGTTCCAGATAACAGTAACATGGAAGACATGGATAACGTTTCTTCTGGAGAATTACACTTATGGCTCATGTTTGTTAGGATGATAAGCTTCTTTTTAGTAAAATCAAGGTATGCTAAGCAGTGTTTTCGTCTTCTATAATACTATCAGCCTTAACAGTTTATTTCCACCCCATATATTTTATGTTTCCCTTTTATGTTGCTTTGGTTCTTGATATTTTATCGCATCTGCTCATTCAGTATCATTTTCACTAGCTCTTTATTGCTTAATTGTATGAGTAAAGCCTTCTGGGAATGAAATTTCCTATGTCATGATGATTTTCTTGTTTATTGCAGCAAATATTGAATTATATTCTGCATTTATTACTGATCAATCCCTTTTATGGTTTCCCTGTAATTTAGTTCTTTTTAATTCTAAATCTGACTCCTATTTTGTCAGCAATAATGCATCAGACAAATTTTCATGGTTGGCTACTTCTTTCCTTTTCTATTTTCCTCAAACTTCAATTTTCCATCTATACATCCAGTGAAATACTTGTGGTATACAACATATATCATAACTTCTGATCATAACTATGGCTGCATGAGATCAACACTGTAAGCATCCTCTCAGGCTTGGCATATGCATTATAGATGCATAAATGAATACCGACTACTAATGTCAGACAGTTTATTGTGCAACATTATTTTCACTGGAATTGTCACTTCTACTTTTCTTTATCTACAGTCTTAAAGTAATATAAGAAAGCACATGTTTTTGATACAGACAAGTAGCCACCTCTCAGTTGCAACTAAATTGCTACAGTGGAAAAATAATCAATTAATAGCAGCCATTCACCGGGGTGGTAAATCTAGCAATATATGTGCAGGCACATGCATGTGTGTTTACAATTGCCATGGTTTTTTCAAATAATATTATAACTAAATTCCTTGTCGATTTGAAGTTTCTTATTGATTTCTGAATGCTATATATTCTTGTAATGCAGTTTGGAAGATTTTCCATGTGCTCTTGCTTCCTTCATTAGCAGGTTGGAAGCACTTTTGGCATTAGATAATGCAGAACTCAAAGCCTCTTTGGAATCTTACCAACAGGTAGATTCATCGAGAAGAGGCCCTTACCGTGCTGTTCAATTTGTCTGCATATTGATCTTTGTCACTAATAGCCTGACTCAAAGCCTGGAAACAAAGGAATCAACAGAGAGATTTGAAACCGAGTCATCTGCACAGACACAATTGGCATTGGCTGCTACCTTTATTTGCATGGGTCGGGTTACTGAGAGATGTCTGAAGGGAGACGCAAATGAAATTTGCCCACTATTGCCAGCCGTGCTAGTGTTTGTAGAGTGGTTAGCTGGCATCCTTGATAGAGCTGAAGCACATGCAGCTGATAAAAGGGTTATGAGTTCTATATCCTACTTTTTTGGTGCTTTGGTCGATTTCTTGAACCAATTTGGTCGAAATGAGAGCGAAATTACACAAGAGAATACTGCTCTCTGGGAAGATCATGAGTTGAGAGGTTTTCATCCAGTGTCTCATGCACATGCATTGCTGGATTTCACAACTGACAAAGAATGCATGGCCAATTTTGACATTAGGAATCCAAGTCGTTTTTCTCGTATCTTTGATGCTGCAATGACAATTGTGCACAGGTCCAATAGTACTATAAAGTGGATCTTATATGATCAAGTGGGAAGAAAGTTTGGTACAGGAATGTTTGTGAAAAATCTAGATGAAGGAGAAATAGAAGTAGCCTCATCTACTTCCAGTATCAATTCCGAAGTGCCTTCTCAGAAGACTGAGAGATCCATAGAAGGGGTGGAGGACACTATCCCCGCCGACGACCCTATTGACCAAGCAAAAAAATCTTGTTCTTTTAGATCCAAAAATGATGATTGTGATGTATTGGAATCTTTGCCCGAGCAAAGTCAAGGTCGCCACGGTCATAATAGCCAACCTACGACCACTGATGACGAAGAAGTCATTCTCTTCGAGCCCATAACTAGACATAACTCAGTGCCAATATATTCTGATGTTTCTGGTTATCTAAATTCTTTAGATCGTGCAAATGTACAGACAACACTTCCTGATGAATGGTTACGCCGCTCTACATCGTTGTCTATTGGTCAAAGTTTGGCACAGACCGATGCATTCAAACAGCGTGAGCCTCCTTTGAAGGAATCGGCTGTTCAACCTGCTGGACCTCCGTCCCTCAGTGCTTGGGTCCTTAGTAAAGATAGTTCGTACATCGAAAGAGAGAGAGGGCAGAAGGACCTCAGGAAACAAGAATTGAGCCCTATTGAGGAAATAGCTTCTACATCATTTACAAATCTCTCTATCAATGAAACTAAGGATTCCGAGGTGGCGTCAGGACATGTTTCACCAATTACCCATAACTATCCTCCTTATATTGCTCCTTTGCCTTCAGCACCATTAATACCTGATGATGCTGTTTGGTTCACGGGGAGTTCATTGAGTTCTCCCGAGTACAGGAGTCCAGTAGGAAATGAGGCAGATGGTATTCTTGGCGCAGCACCAAATACTGGATGCCCAAGTCGATCTGCAGTTCGACTATTTGATGGATACCCACCACTCCTTGGGATGAGTTCCTCTGAATGGCTGTATCACTACAGAAACAGTCACAATATAGAGCATGCCCATAATCACACATCACCAGTTCACTTCAATGCACCAACCCTAGGAAGTTTTTACCCAAACGAGGTTTCAAGATTTGATTTCTATGATCAGTGGGGAAATCATTTGGCTCCAAATCCGATGATTTATATGGGGAACACACAATTGCATGCGAGCTCGTCTCATTTTTATGGTTCAGATGAACAAAGAAGGGACATGCCGTTTCTTGGAAACCAAAGATCGTTCCCTTACGTAGGTGGTGTTGGTACAGACCTAAGATCCGAGCAACCCCCATTATTGCAGTATCTGAAAGAGAGGGAATGGCAACTACTACCCGGTTTTCAGACGAGGGATCCTACTTTTATATAGAAATTATATGAACACTTGAAGTCGTGCATTTTCAGATCTGCATGCCTCAAGAGTCGAAACTTGTTCATTGGGATGTTATATACAAGTGAAGTGTATTACATGTGCATTAATGCCAGATTGTCTATATTACAATGTTAGTTTTTTCCACAACACACGTCCCAATATCAGTTAATACACCATTAACAGTGTTCGAATTCTACAACATACTCACCTACCAGACATCTGTCTCTTCAGGGAGAGACGAAAAATAGAGAATGTTTCACAAATTTTCTAAGCACGACGACAATAGAAATAACCAGGTAGGATGTAAATTTTCACTTAATGAAAGAATCGAGTAAAAAAGAGAGAGAGAGAGAGAGAGAGAACAAAATGCATTGTAACTTCCTCGATGAAAAGTGATTTCTACTAGGATGAAAACGAATTCTTAACGCTTATCTATTTCCACAGTACTTCCATTGGGATGCCCCGCTCTTCAGCAACTTCTCTGAGTTGCCTCACTTTTGCACAAATCTGGCTCGTGTATTGTTGCTACCAAGCTGTTTCCCCAATGCATTCTCAACGCCGGTCAATTCCTACACAATTCTCACTGTGGCTCGTGCATTGTTGAGAGGATTACTTTATATTTAGCCCTTATAAATTTATCAAAGACAAAAATGATGGATGATTGGTCATCGTAGTAATAATTTATCATTCATATCCACACATCTGAGCTTCCACTGTTCCACCAAACGGTGCATTGTGGTTCTTAAAAGGATATAATTTTACCCTCATCATATGGGAAAGTTATTTTTTTCAAAACATGTCAATATCTGTTTTACAAAATCTGAAACACCTTTGTTGATACATATTTTTTGCTTATATTTATTTGACGTCATTTTAGATGGATTCTGCATGTAATATAAAGGCAAACGATCGGGGAGTCAAGTTTTAAAGATTAAGAAATTAATAGAATTTTTCAAAAAGGTTGAGACCATGCTGCAATTTTCTCAAATTCTTATTAGAAAAGTTCTAGATTATGATTGATGCTACCAAAAATCGTACATGTTGACTTCCAAGTTTGAAGACTGGGAATGAGCAAGAACGAGGTATTCCGGTACTTGAAACAAAAGCGTTGAGGTGTGTCTCCGTCACCCCTTCGATGCTTAAGTCATAGAAAGAATATGTGCTGAAAATTACGTAAAAAACACATACATTGATAATGATTTGGAATGATGTATTTATAGAGGTAGCTAGTACATTCGTAGTAGAATTACAATGTTGAAATCTCTAGGAGTTCTAACGTGATTGGAAGTTGTAACTTAATTGGTTTTGCACCATCCATGTGTTTGGATAAAGATGTAACTCTGATGGTAGAATTATTTTTGGATGAGGTCACATATTAACAGCAGGATTCTATCTCTCTTAAGTTTGGATACTCCTTGACATGATGGAGAGTCCTAATAAGTCGAGGGTGCGGTAAGAGATTTAGTCGTGATCTTGAGGAAAACCTAGTGGTCGAGAATAGACAATCCCGAGGAGATATGGTCGAGGAGGTCACAAGGCGTTGAAGCCAAATTGGAAAGATAATCCTCGGGTCCCGAGCTCGAGCTCGGCCTACATTGTACTCATCAAGGATCATTTGAAAAAAAAATTGACAAAATTTCAGCAATTTTTTATAGAAATTAATATAAATTAAATGATGAGTACATGAGCATTTTAATCACTAGAAATGTTACTTATACATAAATGTTAGATAATTTTTTGACAGAATGTCAGCTAACAAAATTTTATTGGATGTTAGCCAAAAACAAAGTTAAATCGGTCAATACAGTGTTGTCACCACATCATCTATAACGGTTTCGACACATTTCACCTGTAATACTTTCTATACATTCCAAACAATCACTCGTTGTCAACATTCTAAAAAACTCACCTAGGTTCGAAGCTCGGATAAAACGTTTCACTTCGAGCCTAGACACTTTTTTTTTTTCCAACTCTTAAACGGCCGAATTTTTTCCTCTCTCTTCCATCTTCCTTAAGCACGCTTTATTAATTTATTTTTATTTTTTTTGTTTTTTTTTTTCCAAAAGTCTTTTATTTGACTTTTAACTTATTAATTTTTTTTTTAAAACTTCTAATTTGTTTTTAATTTCAAGTTTTTAAAAGATTTTATTTAAATAAGATTTAAGTTATGGCTCTATTTACATTATGTAATTATGATTTTGAAACTCGTTATTTTGTTGCAAACTCCAAAAGCAAGTATGAAGTTCATATAAATCTATTAAATACGACTTGTGTAGTTGAAAATTAAAATTATGAAAAATATTCTAATTTTTGTATTTCAAAATTGAAAATTGTATAATTAACTAATGGTAGGAATTATTAAGTAAATATATTATTTTATAATTTTGAGATGTTTGATGTGTATTAATTTAATTATTAAATGATTAAAAATAAGAAAACATTTTTTTACGCTTAAACCTAGTCGATCAAGACTCGCTTAAACTCGTGAAACTTGAAATTTCGCCTTAGTTGAGCTTTATGCTTTTTAAAACATTATCTCCATTGCTAATCATATTTTACGCTTTTTAAAACACTCAAAAGAAATTTTCATCGAATATCAGATTAATCTAATAAGGAAAAAAAATTACTATCGCAACTTCCCATACATGATACATCACATTCCTATACGTGGCATAAACCCATAACATGTGTCAAACACTCACGTCACCACCTCTCTCCCAGTCCTCCTTATAACACTCAATAGTCGTGCCAATCGGTGGATTTGTAGATCAGTTTTCTGGAAAAATGGCTGCAAGTTCTTTCGTGAGAAACACAACGTTTAAAGTTCCAAAGGGTTTTTCTCATACCCGTTCTCAACTTCTGCCTCGCAAAGTCTACAGGGTTTGCTTCACTTCTGCATCTAAATATTCTGAGGTATGCAACGCCGCTGCGCGTCTTGAAATTTTTGATTGTAATTGATTCTTGTTAGATGCTTATACTTGATTCTTGTTAGGTGCTTATACAGTTATACGCTCTGTGTGTACTTTTGTTGATTAGGGACGGAATGCTGATGAAAGTAGAAAAAGAGAATACAGTCCACACAATGCCGACGAGGATTTTGAAGAACCAGAAGATCCGGCTTATGAGATGGCTGAGAAGACTAAAGAACGGGCAGAAGAAATGAAGGATAAAGCAAAGAACCGGGCGGAGAAGGCAGCCGAGAAGGCCAAAGAAGCAAAGGGCCGGGCGGCTGAAACTGCATACGAGGCTAAAGAGAAGGCGAAAGAGAAAGCTGATGACTTAAAGGAGAAGTCTAAGGACACAGCAGGTACTGTTATTTATCAACGGAAAGGTTATATTATTATCTGTTTCTCTTATGTTCTCAATTTATAATTTTTAACAGGTACTGTGGCCGATAAGGCCTACGAGACAAAAGAGAAAACCAAGGACGCTGCTGGGACAGTCGCTGATAAAACAAAAGAATATGCATACGACGCAAAAGAGAAGACCAAGGACACTGCCGGAACTATGGCGGACAAGACGAAAGAATATGAATACGATGCAAAGGAGAAGACTAAGGAAGCGGCCGAGACTGTGACTGATAAGACCAAACAAGGAGCACAAAAGGCAGCCGAGACAGCGCAAGGTTTAGGAGAGAAGGCTAAGCAAACTATGGAAGAAGCTTGGGGGGCTGCTAAGGAGACAGGCCAGAAGATTAAGGAGACCGTGGTTGGAAAATCCGATGACAAGAAAGAATCTGTTGACGATTTTATTGAAGATCATGTAAGGAAGCCAACGAGAGAGCACGAGAAAGATACAGAGTTTAGGCCTCAAGCAGGAGCTGGTGATAAGAAGAAACATTAATGAAGGGGTCTGATTTTATAAAATCTTTTGACTGTTTAATTGTCGGAATCTTTCTGAATGTTTGACAGTCGGAATAATTGAATAAAATGAAGTTTTTGTTTCCCTGTATGTGAACCATTGATGCTTATTCTTTCGAATGTTGGAATTTTGAGTGCTGAGAATGCCTATGAAAGCAAAGGTTTAGATTAGTAAGAAACAGAAACTTGTTCTGATAAAATTGTAAGCACATAATTTATAGTCAGAGTCACGCGAACATTGTTACGTGTCTTTAAAATACAGTCAACTTTCTCATTCAATTTTTTTCATTTCGGTTAATTTTGGCTGTTTTTTCGGTACAAACAGCAAAATCCGACTTTTAACACCCTAAACCTTTAGCGAATTTACAAGACTTTGGGGTTGAAAGACAAAATGATCATTTAACTTTTAATTAGCTAAAAAAGGAAATTTGCATCAAAGTATCAATATTTTCAAGAATGTGCACAGCTGTCCTAAATTTATTGTGTTGAATGGACCTCTAAAGATTTTCATTTACTTCATTATATTGGAGCCTTGCAACCGTTTTATGTCAGTATGTGATTCCATTAAATTAAAATCTGCTCAAATTCAAAATGAAGTTTTAGGGAAAAAAAAAAAAGAAAGCAATATGATGCTTCAAAATGGCAGTAACAAATTAAAAGTGGAATTATTTCATATAAATCATCAGTAACAATTTAACAAAGTGCCATGACAAGATACTTTAAACAACCTGTAATTTGTGTTTATACTTTCATAATCGGTTTATTAGGCTAAGACATTACCACCATGAGAGTCTCCTTTTTAATTTTGAACGAACTTTATGCCCACTCCTCGTTTATGAACTATAAGGCCCTGTTTGATCTTCACTATTTTCCATGGAACTTGGAAATCTAACTTTTTTTTTCTTATTTGATAGCCAAAATTTTCTTGGCAAAACATTTTCCCCCCAACCCCCCACGTGACCCCATTTTCCAGGTTTTCATTGAATTAGTTTTTCCACCACTTTGGTGGGAAAATGGTTTTCCAATCTTTATTTTTTTTATTGCAATAAAAATAAATTATATCCCCAATTGTAATTTTTTTTCCCCTTTAATGGATAATTTCTATGAAAAACAAAGTCAAACAAATACCAAAAGATCCAAAATTTTAACATTTTTCAAGTGAAAAATTATACCAATCAAATACAATTAATTGACAATTTTCGAGAAAACAAGGTCTAGGCAATTATTTTCCCTGAAATTCGTTTTCTTTCCACCCATTTTTCAATCTTGCAATCAAACGGACCCTAACTTGTTTTGAAAAAACAAAGATGGAGAACGAAATGGATTTTAGAAATTGATTGACAAAAATGGTGGAATTAAGGTTTGATTACAAAATGGAGATGTGTGATGAGATGTAATTTGTCTAGAGATTTGGGATAATTGGAACTTTGAGAGAATTTAAATAATTTTCATTGATTCTAAGTTCGATGATGGCAAAATAAATTTGAAATGTACGGATACAAGATTCATTTAATAATTTATATGGTTACTTAAACTAGTATTTAAACACCAATTCAACTAGATAACATTAATCAAATATTAAAATTGTCGAACATATAGGACATGTTTGAGTCCCATTTTTTGTATAAAATGTATTTTGGAATAGTAGTTAAAAATGAAGCAAAGATTTTCGAATTGTGTGTAATATTATTTTTTTGAAAAATGTGTGATTAAAAAATTAGAGAGAGAGATGCATTTTAAAAAAAATGAGATCAGAGAGGGCATATATTTTTTTAGACAGGACTTTGTCTTACGTATTAAGTAAGAGGATATTATTGTGTTCGAATTACCAAGAGTGGCCTGGTGGGCGTCCAACTGACCCCAAAATTGATGCCAAAAGAATATTGTAATAATAAAAACTATGAAAGAATGAAGTGTAAGAATAAATGTGGGATGAAGACAGTGGCAAGTACCAACATATGTTGAAACTACCGACTAAGCATCTGCTGAACAAGCTGCAAGACTACAAACAGCAAGGAAACTGTTTCACGCGGGTTGTCGCTAACAATTAAAAGAAAGGTTTAGACGATTGTGTAAGGAACAAATATCTTGAGACAAAGTCCCAAAAATGGGTGCTTTATTGATAAAGATTACAATTGAAAAAAAAATGGAATGCCTCCAAGGAGCGCAAACACACGAATATTAAGAAGAAATATTTTAAAATTAACTAAGAAATGAAATTACATATTCTCTGTTGAGAGTGTTTGATTCGGGGTCTATTCTTCTATGTCTTCTTTTCCTTTTTATACTCCTTTGCTGATTTCCTCTTGAAAAACAGCTTGGAAACTGCTCTATAACTATCAACTTTCTCCGTGATGACTGACTTGTCAAAGAACTGCCGTTAGCAACTATTGTTAGAGCTATTGTTGTTTAACCGCTTGTAACCGAGATTCTTGGATCGTGGGACGTGATAAGGTTGCTCAATAACCACTTCAATAACTGAACAAAACGCCATATTCATCCAGACCTTGGGCGTCTCGAAGGCTTGGGTGAGAGTGAGACCGTCGTTTGGGCCCATTCCTCAATTTACCTAACTGGGCTCCATTTCTTGTACCGCATAATTGGGACTGACTTAATAATTGGACCTCATTTGACCATTGGGCCTTATTTTTTGTATGTCAAAAATTACCCTCCAATATGACAGAATTAATATCAATTATTAATTTTTGTCATATTCTTCCTTTGTATTTTCCGACAATATTTGAAATTCTCAAAAATTTCAATCATTATTTCCGTTTGGCTTCAATCTGAAAAAGTATAACGTGACAACCCTATAACCCAAAAGACACGCCACTTTATCGAGCCATTAACCCACGTCTCTATATTTCGTGCTTCTTTCTCACTATTTACTGTTCATCTTGTTGCTTTCCTACTACGTTTCTTAAGCAAATCTCACAGAGACTGTACTTTGCACCAAATGGCGACTTCGCAAACTCTTTCTGATAACTCTCTTAGTTTCGAGGATTTCCAAAACCTCTTCACCAGGCCTTATGTAAATTCAAACTCTCTTTCATAAGCCCGCCCTGACAGCCATGAGTTTTATCTAGGTCCATCATTTAATGATGCTGAATATATCGAACAAGCGGCAATGTGTTAGTTGTTCCCTTGTACTCAAGGCCCTCCGTTTCTAAACTCTTTGCCACTGAGGCCGATTCTCGAGAAAGGTATTCGCACTTTGCCCAAAATTGATGTTATTTTTCGTAGGTGGCATGCATGTCGGGTGAATCATGGCCCTACCAAGGCGATTTTTTATCGCAGTAGGATTTCAGATTTATTAGAAATCGCTCTTCAACCCCCAATTTTCGACTCAGTGTTTTTTCCTATTGCTTTGAGTTTTTGGTATTCTGAATATAATACATTTGTTTTCCTTCTTGATCCAATGTCTATTACCTCAAGGGACGTTGAAGCCCTAGTAAATCTTCCGTCCTTGTGCGATACCATCTTTCCTGGTATTTTGATTGCCGGTGTGGCCCCTAAGTTTGACAAAAAACTCACTGAATCCTATTTATGCATGCAAGGCCTTTATAATCATTCTAGCGCTGAACCTTCCCATGCTGAGCGTGTGGCTTTTCTTCAAATTTGGCTCTGTAAATATATTCTTTGTGTGCCCAGCATGAAGCATTCTATGAGCTACTTACCCATAGCGCATGAATTGGCGCTTGGTAGGCCTTTGAATTTATGTTCCTTCTTTTTAGCTGCCTTTTGTAGAGACCTTCAATTTCAATTAAGGAATTGTGCATCTCCCACTGGCAGTGGGCCCCTTTGGTTCTCTCAATTGTAGTTGAGAGCATACTTTCCACAACTTGGTGCTCCATCTACTCCCCTTCGTTCTACTAGCTGCTATAGGCTAGCCATTGGCCCACTAAAGCCTGTAAATATGTCCAATAGGGACGTTTTTTCATTCTTTTATACCTTAGATTCAATCCCTTCTTTTTTCCCTTTTCCTGCTCATTCAACTCCAGATTATGTGTAACTTTCGTCCACTATGGACAATGTGAGCACCTTTTTGCCTGTTTGGGTTCAAATTTTGATTTGGAAAGAATTGTTCCACAACATCTTAATTGGAACCAATGCCAAGTCCGGAGTTGAGATATATGTTCCCTAGTTTTTTGCTCGTCAACTTGGTTTTGGCCAAACCTGTCCGATTTCTCCTTGTTACTCTAAAAGTTTGATAGACCGTTTACATACTATCAATAAAGCAGAAGCACAAACTATTGATGCCCGCAACATTCTTTTGACAAGCAACTTCTCATTAGCCCCTTTCAAGTCCAGCTCTGCCGTTTATTCTCTTTTTGAACAACTCTGGCCATCAGTGAAACGCAGGTTGTTCATCACTGATGCTAATCGTGCCTTCCACTTACTAGATCGGCTTGAGACTTCCTCCACTTATCCTATTTTGGCCACCCCTGTGTCCATTAGGAATCTTTCTTCACCTGCTCGCAATAAACATTTGGCCCTTCCATCTACTTCTCGTCCTGCTCGAGCTGGTGCAACAAAAAGTGCCTCCAGCCGTAAACGGCCAGTCCCATCTTCACCAGTTTTGCCAATGATGATGCTCCTCTCATCGCCAGGAGAAAGGTACTTGAGCCTGTTTATTTATGCACCAAATTATTCTTCATAGGTTAACGCTTTACCTGGATTTTCAGAAGACTTCACCTTCCCCTTCGAAGGCTCTAGTCTTAACAGCCCTTTCTTCATGACCTCCTGCTAAAGCTGCTCCATCCAAGTCATCTGATGCCGGGACTCTGCTGCAAGAGAAATCCTTAGCCCTAGAGTCTTCACCACAGTTAGTTGGAGAGCTGCCATCTTTTCAGGGCGTTGACCTCCCAAGTGTTGATCCAGAAGGTAATACATATTTTAATGTCTTTACCTTTGCCTGTACTACTGTCCTTTGATTCATGGTTTCTTGAATTCTGAAGAGATTCCCATGGATCTGCCCGTTGT